CGTTATCGTCGCACTGTAGGGCTTGTTGACGTGGTCTAACTTCATCATCACACACAATGCAAGGATGAATGCTCATTTTGATCAGTTCGTATTCGTATTGTAGCTAGCTTTACCCTCTTCATATATACTTTGATCGGATCAAAATATACATGCGACCGCCAGAGGAAACAGAGCACAACTACATAATTCTTACCTATTCTGATCCTAAGGGAAATGATGCTAGCAGACTTCTACTGTGAAAAAAGTCACAAGCATAAACAATAGACTGTTGTCTTAAAAATATCACACTTACCTTACGCAACGCAACAAGTTAATTTTATTTGTGTTACTCGCTTTACCTTTTATCGACTTGTCGAACGCGACAATCGACATTCGTTTACCAGGTGTTTTCATCTGTTAATGTTAGGAAAGTCACAAATAGACACAACAGAACTTTACTTGTATGTTACGCTGCATCCATGCATTTGTTGTTATAGCAACGAACAACTCTTCGCTCTGTTGTTAGAAACGAACAACGCTTTTAGAGTCGTTACTCAAACATATTTAAATTCTGACCATACAATCGATTTCTGTGTAGTCAAAGTCTTCATGGCATTTTAAGAAACAAGAAAGAGTTTCCTAAGCTTACGAAACGTCTGTGAGTTAGAAACCAGTGTATACCAAATGAACAAAGCTTCATTTTTTTGTTTGAAACGGAGAACGCTTCCCTTTGTTAGAAACGAACAACACTTTTAGAATCGTTACTCAAACATATCTCAATTCCGAGCATACGATCGATTTCTATGTAGTCAAGTCTTCATGGTATTGTTAGAAACCAAGAAAAAAATTTCTCAAGCTTACGAAACGTCCGAGAGTTAGAAACGATTACATACCAAACGAACAACGCTGCATTTTGTTGTTGGAAACGTACAACGTTTCCCTATGTTGTTAGGAACGAACAACGCTTTAAGAATCTTCATGGTGTTGTCGGAAACAAAAAGCGCTTCAGTGATAAAAAATTTCTCAACGTTATTGCCTATTAAGTAGTATTTGTTTCTTCGGGCGACTTGACTTTTTTTTTTTGGGCGACATTATTCAAATTTCGGGCAACATGACTCAGGTTTCGGGCGACATGACTTCGGGCGAGATGACTCTCGAGCGACTTGACCGGTTACCCTTATAAATATTTTTATTATTTAATAAAACTACGCAGCAAGATGTCCTTCAAATACTGAACTACTTGTTCAGCGATTACATTGAGTTAGCTATTCCAAAATCCACTATTCCACAAGTCCGTTACAAATGTAGGCAAAGCTCACGGCTTTTCCGAAAATCTTTCGAGAGAGGGAAGCAAAATATATTTTAATTTAAAGCAGACGCAATTGGTATTAATCATTAGTCATTAATTTAGGGTGAAAGAACTGTTAAGCTGTGGATTTTTGAAGGTCAATAACCACTTTACCCAAAACTATGGTAATTTCTCCAAATGGAGCCTGATCCCTCACATATCACGCGAGTGGACATAATCTAAAAAGTTGCGACTGCAGTAAACATTTTCGTTTAAGCCATCTGTGAACATTTCAACCATTTCTTAGTAATTTTGAAAAGGAATTTAAGTTAATGTAACCTGTTTGTCAATAATACTACCTCAGTTACAGATGTTACATCACAGTCTCGTGTGAGTGTTTTGCAATGTAGCCTCTCCTTGTCTCTTTAAGCAGACTGTACAAAGATTTTAAAACGATAGTTCACTTCATTTGATGTTTCCAACACTTTGAGTTGTAAATTTCTATAACCATTTGGTGTCTTACTCGATCCCCATTGTCACAAGGATGTCACTATGCTCGTTTCAAGTACTTGGGCGCTGCCATCGAGAAATTTCGATGTTCCCTGCGATTTTAATACCTTTGCATCTACTTCATGGACTCAAAATTTGACTTACTCGAAAGAGAGACATGAAAAAGAGCGTTTAGGGGGATGGAAAAAAAAATTAATATCGCTGCGAGCAGGGTTCGAACCTGCGCGGGAAGATCCCATTGGATTTCAAGTCCAACGCCTTAACCACTCGGCCATCACAGCACGCTGCGATATAAGGGGGAAATGTTTATATTTAAATATGATATTACTTCCAGCACCCTGGCTACATCTTTTCATTTTAAGAATCAAAAAATGAGTGAGAAATGCGGGACTAAAACCTGGCTTGTAACGGCTAAAGCACTTCTCCTAACTTACAGTGTAGAGAAAGTAATTCAACTAAAGAGCACCGTTGTTATGGTTCATTTCTGTTTGAAAAGGAAAGCTTGCCGCACCGGCCAACACAGACAACACTTACTTTGCCTTGTAAAAATAAGACTTTAGGATAATTCATTATTCGTTATCATTATCTTACCTTTGAGCAGGTAGTCAATTGAAGAGCTGCAAATGGCAAATACTATTAAATTTGGTGGATCGGGTCACCAGAGACTTGGAATATAGGACGCGATCGGCCTTTTAAAACTATATTGTCATTGAACTTATTGGCCCAGATACCGAAATCACTATGTATCGGACTCACCATGCCGGTCAAGCCGGCTCCTAGTTTCTGGCGGCGTTACTTCTGATCTGAATTCATTTATACTCACTGGTCTAAGTTGTTGCTTTTCATTTACCTCTTTTAATCCATAAATGAAGCTGTTTACTCAAACTTTCAGCCTCATCATTGAATTCAAGGCAAAACTTTCGTTGAGCACAGCAAAGGCAATGGGCTAAGCGAGAGTTAATTTAAGATGCATCGTACAAAAACTGTGAATGTCCACTTGATGTACTTCAGTATATTCTGCCCACATAAACCAGCACAGCTTCAATCGCTACACAGCTTCAATCGCTACACACAAAAGAGTAAGGCAGGCCAAATTTCTTGCACTGTGGCTTAAGAGTCATATCAGTTTAGCTTTTTTTGTCCTCCGACTTCAATTTTATTGCTTTGGTTTGATATATATATTTTTTATCTAGTTCTTTCGAAACAAATACACCTCACTCTTGACACAATACCTGTAGGGATAGGAGAGAGGAGGATTAGTTTTGGTCGAAGGTGACTTAGATGAATAAACTAAAAAATCGTCGGGCAACAGCTCAGAGTTGAGATATATTTTTCCAAATTAAGCATAAACAATAGACATCGCTACGAGGTTCTGAAGAGAAAACACGCCAAACTTCCCAGAGTCTCGCGCTGAGGTCTGTCGTGTAACGCTGTATCTTAAAAAACATCGAAACAATTCACTTCCCGAGCAACGTAAAGCGTCCTACTAATCCTTATTTTCAATTACCTTTTCAAATTTGAGTATATACTTCGGCGGAGGCCCCCCGTACTTCAAAATGCATTTAGTTCTGATATAGGGAAACAGTGGCGAATACAGGAGATAACCTTTAGGAATTAGCTTTGTTTTTTCATGATATATGATTTAGTTTTATCAACTGAGTTGTCATGTAAATTAGCCACCGAAAAGAGTTTCTAGCTTTATTTAGAAATCGTTTACTGTGGCCAATTATCTTGTAAAACCCCTCTACTGACGCAGCACCACAGTTTCTTCAGCGTTAGAAACTTATCCCTTATTCATTTGTTTTAGAAAAGTATTGAGGTAGAAGGAAATCTTCGCTAGGCTTCATCCATTCTCAATTTCACTGTTCCAATATGGAACACGTTTCGCATCATTTTCAAACCTAGGTGCATTTGAGATAAAATTACAAATTTACCATGTTTGGTTTTTTCTTTTCAAATTTGTCACCGATACAGGTGAAATAATGCAATGATAAACACCTGACAGCTACTTAGTGAGTAAATGTCTATTGTAAGGCTAAATATTTTTGTTTCGGAGAGAAAATAGAAACAGAAAGCAAATAGCTCAGAAATTGGAGCAAATAGACCCCTGGAAATTTCAGATAAACTCTCTATGCGTATATTTCAGGACTTGCGTTTCTTCCTTTCCAACTTTTTCACCTTTAAATGAGCTGTTTTTTCCAGTATGTTGTAAATGACCGATAACCTCAATAACATCCGTGATGGTGTTGTTTTCTATCTAAAACGGCGAATGTGTCTTTGTTAATATGTGTACGTTTAAAAACAAGATTAACTGCCCATGCTCGACAGATTGACCTTCCTCACCCCACCCCCCTCCCCCCCGAACTCCGTGGCCCTATACCCCCAGCCAAATCAGCTGGCGAATTTACCAATTTGGAATTTGTTTCCTCTTTCGAAAGAAGCCCCTGTCTTACATCATTCTTCACGTCCATTTTTCTCGAACGTCAGCTCTCAAAAAAAATCCTGAAGTTAAATAAAAGATCACTTCTTTAGATTACGGGTTTAAAACGTTCCTTAAGAACAAAAACGATATCTTTATTCTTTAATCGTGATTAGCCATTTTAAGCAGACATGCCTTGTTTATACTTACTACTTATCAATAAATTATTGAAAAACTTTTTTTAAAGGAAAGTTCATCGCCTAGAATCTAAAAAACGTTCCTCCCATTTTGTTTCGTGACTCGGGGTGATGCAAATTTCAAGGAAACTGAAAATGGCAATTAAGCTGTCAATCATTGTTGCGTGCGAGCCGTTGGCTGGTCGAGGTGGAAATATCTTTCGCTTTCTAGGCAAAATATAAATCCACGTGGTGTCTCTCAGTATGAGTTAAGACATGAGGGAACACACGATATACAATTTTTTTTGTTTCCTTTTTTTGTGTTTATTGGTCCCACCAGACACGAATCGACCCTTTTCAAATTCATACTTTGTAAAGCCACCGGATTTATCGAAAATTTAGAACTAGGATTAAAACGAGAAAAGAAAGATATGATAATTTTCAGGCTTATACGTGCTTTCTGTGAATAAACATGAGATAATAGATAATAGCTGTACTTTCTGGGGTAATTTGTAATGGTGTGAGTGGAAGAATCGAACAATGGGGATTGTTTTCATATCAAATCTCGCTGACATCATGCAATGGATAACTCTTGACAGAACGTCACTATAATACGAAGCGTCATCAACAATCTTTATTTCCTATCATAACAAAACAAGTTGCCACCGTTTGGCGATATAAAATTGTTCGTCGGCGTGTCTAATGCCGAAAGCGTGGTATAAAGTGTTTCTCTTTTACTAGTATTTGAAAGTGAAAATTCTGACACATATGCTTGCTATATATATATAAACACCAAGGTTCGGTAACACTCTATTTAGACATTGCCTGGTGAATCTCGTTCGCAGTTTGATCGACGTATTTATTCTTCTCTGCTCTCTGAGAACAAGTCGCTGCTGTTGTAATCTGAATTCAGGGATTTTGATCATTTTGCTTTTCTTCGATTAAATTAAATCGAAAATCATCCATCCAGCTGATGTCGACCAACCAACTTGTTCGATGCTCTCCAATTTCATCCGATTGTTTGGGAATAGCGAAGAAGCAGGGCTCATTTGTACTAAAGAGGAATGGCTGTGAGATGAACGCTACCATGACCTGCAGGTAAATTGCTTACCGCAGATAATTCGTAAACAAGCTTTCCAGAGGAAATTTTATCAGCTTTTTCATTACCTGTATCACCCTTTCTGTTCATAGTATTCATTACTTCAGAACTAAAACGGATCGAAGTCTTGCCATCTAGGCACAATTACTAAACTCTACTTCATGGATCTTGAACTTCTCACTCTAGACGCCATAGATCAGCGCTATTTTGGCGTTGCTTTTTCCTTATTTCATTGCCCATCAATGACCAAGGCTTTGTAGAAAGTAGCGGATAAAATAATTCATTTCTGATGACGTTGTTATTCTTGTGAGTATTACTAAAGGTTCGCATGGTACTTCATAGGCTGAAAACACTCATACACCACGCAAATGACGATCAAAATAAACTCCGTACATGGACTTATATTTCTGTGTTGTGCTTCCTGTTGAGAATTTCAAGTCTCGTGTTAAAAAAAAATGATTAGACATATTACTGTTGCTTCGAACAGGTGTTCGCTGTTCACATTTGTGTGCTGCAGGCCAGCCTCTCAAACGCTCCCACTAATTTAGAGGATTATTGATATCATTTTTCGATGATAAATTTCCTTCACAGCGTACTCTTATAAAACTATACTTTAAATCAATTGCTAAAAGATATTTCTGAAAAGCACAATTCTTGCTTAAAACGGTCGGCAGAAATGCGTGGCTATATCATTATATTTATTTAGCCAACCAAATTATCGCGCAGGCTCGATCGATAGATCTTTGTAAGCCACGTCTGAATCCAAAATTACTTGAAAATAACAAGAGATGCGATATGACTTGAACTGATGATACATTCTGTTCTTTCAGAGTCTTTATCTTGTCAGTCGGTCATTAAAACGGTTAAGGGCTCAAACAAAACGCCGATTTGAACTTCGTATAAATATTTATTAACAATTCCGTAAGGAGCCAAAATTGACACAACAGACTGTAGTTTGTAGCAGTCTTCAGCATTTAAAGGTTGATAACTGGAGCTGTTTCGCACAAGCTGCTGCTGCTACAGCCAAAAAATAATAATAAAAAAGAATAAGCAGTATACTTGAAGTAAGTTTCGTTCACCAATGGTCCTTTTGAAAGTGCGCTAACGAATGAAGGAACGAATCAGGATCCAAAGAGAGCTCTACCGGCAAGAAAGTTTCGACAAAGCTTAGTTGATTGCGACTATTCACCATAATATTTACATCGCTTAGATGCACTTTGGTGCCACTTATACACTTAGTTACCTCTATAAATCTCATGTTAATGTGAGGGTTGCAAATAGTGATTTGGCAAAGTTAGATCCGCCGCCTAATTTTAAAGTGCTTGATAGATTTTGTGACTTCTAAAGAGGTGAATAGACTTTTGCATCTTGATATTGTACAGGGCAAACGATAAAGACGAGCAAGGAATCACCAGTTGTCTGTCAGCGGTTGAAGGACATCTACCTTATTTGAACCGGAAGTGTGGCTGTCCGGAATGTATTATCGCCAGCGAAAAGATGGAATTAAAGCACCCCTGTGGGATCCAAAACGGACGTCAAGGTTTATGCCTGAATGAATCCTTCTTCAATCAAACTAGAAACGAATACATTCATAAGCATCAAACTAAGGAACACAGAAAAGAAACAAATCATTATAACGCTCAGCTACGAAACGGCACTGGTTCATCGTGGCCAAAAAAACACAGATTCACGGAACCAGCATGTGACAAAATTTCCTCTCCTTTACAATACAATAACAATAACAGAATGTCCGAAATGTATGCAACTACGCTGGGTTCAAATGGGACAAATACCTTTTCCAGAATGCTGAGCATAAGCCCTGTCGGTAAAGGAAACCAAACTGAAACAAACCAGTGGGCATGGAATGGCTCCTTGGACTCTTTTAGCAATCATCAAACTCAACTGAAATTATCAAGTATTCAACAACCTCATCCCACCCAACAACTCAGTAGAGACCCACGCTTACGGAGAAAAAGTGAAATGTTGAATGGAAATGATGCTTCAAGTATATATTATGTGTACCAAGCTCAAGACAACGCTCAGCTTGTGCAAGGGGGCCAGGAAGGACACAAACAACAAAGCAACAAAAATAACAACAAGGGATGCCAGGACCAAGGACTAAAGAGAGCTCTAGACTGGAATATGTCATCACAGCCTCAGCACCCCCAACCACAGCACATACCAACTATCTACCCAGAGAGAAGTGGACTGAATACAAAAATAAGGGAACATAAACAAAGTGTTAACGAAAGGAAAGACCAACCATGCCGGGTAAACAAGCCGTCGCGGATAAAGCTCGAAGAACTCTTAAAGAAACATAATACATTTGACGGACGTTCTTATTCACACAATGCTACTCGTTGGAATTATCCATATGTTCAAGGCGAGAAAACTTGCAGAACATCTATGGCGGAAAATAAAAAAGATATGAAAAGGGCACCGACGTCGGTAGATAACTGTGGCTCTGAAAGCAAACGAGCAAAGGGCAATTTCAATTCATTTCCAAATGACCATGGGCTTCGAAGCAAGTCACCATGGAACACCGACAATGAAGAATTGGAAAATGAAACCCAACATTTAGAAATGGTTGCCCGTGAAGAAAGGATAAGAAAATTGAAAAATCTACTTGCTAAACAAGAGAAAGCACTGGAATCACTGAGATTTCGAAAGAACTCTTCCAACGACAAAGCTATTCCTAAACCCTCTGTAAGAAGTGAAGCAATTTCCCAGAAATCAGGTGATCAAGGGAACACAACCAAAAGCAATGACCCGCCTCACTCTAACTCATCATCAGGGACGACTTTGGGAAATTCGTTGAAGCGGAGATGGCTCCAAAACTGGAATGAGGGAGAGGAGCACGGGCATGAACCCCCCTTTGAGAAGGAGAAAGAAAACGAAAGGCAATCTAGCGGTAGCCTATCTGAAAACGAAGATCAGAACCTCAGTAATGCTGAATTTACAGCATTGGAAGGACTCGTGACACTCAGCAAGAATTAGACTTATGATTTGAACAATCGTTATCATTTCACCTTAACCATGTGCCCATATTTAGGTACTCTACCTGAAATGTTTTAGTTAAACAGTTGTCCATTCACTCATCCTTAATCAGATTTTTTCACATGCGAACGATCAAAGATGTGTGTGCTGTACTAAACTACGATCGGGCGCTACTTTCTAGAGGATAAAATGAGTAGCAAAGAGGTACATGAAAGATGGACTTCTCCTCATTACAGAGAGCAGCTTCACGCATAATCAGTTCTTCACAACTTTCAGCGTTACGAATTGAAAAACTGATCACAGTTTAGGTCAGGTTAGACGGCACCAGGTCAGTCTATAGGGCACGTTCTTCGCACGACCGTCTGTAGTGGACCAAGGAAATTTTTACCAGGAAGCATGTGAACCAAAACTGACGACTGAAGACTCTTCAAAACTAAGCCCAAAGAATGATACATACGTTCAAGTAACCTGGTTAAACTTGAAAAAGTAAACACATCTTTGACGTTAGACAGTTAAAAACCAAGACTTGGGTCTGCGTTTTACAGACAATTGAGCCCAAAGTGAAATTTAAAAGCTGTTTGAATAATAGTGTCAATCAAGTACTTTCGCTAACCATGATGTGATTCAGTGGATGAACCTTCAACATGGAGCAAGAAAGGCGCAATCGTGGGATGACCCCTTTCCGACCCATTCATGCAGTCTGGTCTGACTCTCCCGCCGGCCCTAATCTAATTTTGCCACTGCGTCTCGTGTTTGCTTCGAGGTCATTCCTACAGGTTCTCCAGTCTTTCCAAACACTTTAAATTCCATCTTGGTATCAAAGCATGTACATTTTAAAACCTGTTTTTCGGGCAAAGTAATGCAACATCGTTATACTGATTCTAAAATTTTTAATACAATTCTGATTGTAAAATTCCACTACTTACTGCGAGAGCTTGATTTGCTCAATTTTGTTTTTCGTCTCATGTCCCTTCGATGTTTGATCGTGGCCTTTATGAACATACCTTAGGTGTTTTGATAGCTCGCTGTACAATCTTAGAGCTAATTAAAAAGCGAAAGAAGTTCGCACTTGGGGTTGTGCTGACTGGATGATTAGAGTGTACTAAATGCCATCATAGAGTTCATTTGTCAGACCATAAGGTGATATAAAATAAACAGTTAATACAGCCTGCCAATTTATCGACAAATGTACTTTATTGATATAGACATTAACTCAAGAGTCACAACTGCGTTCAACATTCCTGCACAACCTCTCGTTTGCCAAGCTGAACGTATATAATGGCAAGACACCAGTCTTAAAAAGTCAAACTCGCTTATATATAAATATCCTAGTTACAGTCGATGACCGTTTTGTAACAAGAGTTTTAGATAGCAAAATAAAACCTTGCATGGATCTTCGACACTTGAGTCGACTGTAGCGGCGGCAGAAACACAACCATAGCTTTAAATGTCAACTGAGCAACTAACGGAATTATAGAAATCAGATATCAGGAGGACTGAGTAAGAGAAATAATCCATTCCAAAGTTTGGGTCAGAAACTCTAATACTAATAATGAGGGCAAAAGAGTGAAACTAACCTGTAAGTTCAATTACATTTTACGGCGTTCAACACCACATAAAGTTTTAAATACTTTTGAAAGAACACTGACACGAAAAAAAGGTTGAATGGCCATTGGATCCACTGTTTTCTGAACATAATAACCGGAAAGAAAGAGAAAGATTAAGATAATTTATGAGAGTATACTGGCATAGTATTTAATAGCGTATGGTTCAGAATAATATCTATTTTAATAGAAAACATCCATCTCTCAGCTGTTATGAAAACTCCACTTTAGCGACGTGAAGACGATTTCTCGCAATATTCCTGAGATAAATAAGTACTATTATTGTTGGAAACATAAAAACCAATCTTTAAATAGTAATGTGTTTATAAAAGAATTAAAAATTGAAAAACGAAGAAAGCGGAAATTTACTAAATTCAACTTGAAGTTAAAAAAGTTCCAGGCTTTTTCATTGTCTTTTCGGCGTCAGCAAAGTAACGGACATAGGTTACCATTTCCTTTACTACGGCACCCTGTACTAAAGCTCACTTGCAGAAACAAAGTTGAACAGAGTTAGTTACAGTTCCTTCAAAGGGATGAAAGTTCAAGTGTCTAACTCTGCTTCTGGCTCATTTTCAGCAGGCCAAACAATGACAGGAACTCCTCCTGATTGGTGTCTTCAGGGGTACAAGCTCTGTCTAAATTTGTTACAGGGCTAAGTTCCTCTTGGGCTTTATCATTCAAAGACTGTGTCCCTTTAAGTTTGAAAGTCGACGACTTTCGTTGGCCTCTTTTGCGCTTCCGTCTTATTTTGGTCTTTTTAGAACACTTTGTTCGTTTGGCTTTCTTATCGTCACTCGACTGTTCCTGTAATATTCCATTGGGTAGATTGAGCTTTCTCTTCAAAACCAAATTTTTAATCGCTATCTCTGTTGGAACAGTTCCTACATCATCGGCCTTTTTCTCAATCTTAACGTTGAAAGGAGAATCAATTCTGCGAGGCGATCTTTGCTTTCTAGAGTTCTTTCTTGGAAAGATTGTTTTTCGTTCCCCTGAGGGAAAATAATGAATCTGAGCAGAGGGACACTCTTTAGGACATACCGTCACTTCTCGATCCCCTAAAGATTTGCTGCATTCAATTATTTCTCCTTTGATGTGTCTGTCTTTTTTGTTTTGTTGGTAAATTCTATCTAAATGTCCATTACTCGGTATTTCTTCCTTTATTGACTGCTGCTGCTTAAGTTTTTCCAGTTCTATTGTATGTTCAGCTAGACGTTTTTTCAAGTCCAGTATCTTTTCATCTCTTTCTGTATACTGCTGGGATCTTCGTGGATTGTTCGGCTCTTTCATGAATTTGTCACGATAAATTGGATGGTATTCTATTGTATAGCCTTTAAAAATGCGAATATGGTCTTCTGTGACTTGAGTATCGTGCTCATCACAGTATTTGCTGTTTTTGTCATCAATACTTGTTTTGGGATCATCTCTCTCGTCGCTAGAACTCTCAGAATGGTGGTTATATTCGCTTTGATCCACGCTTCCATTCGCCTTTAAAACAGGATCTTCCAACTTGTTTAGAGAATACTTTTGCTGTTGATTTTTTTCAAAGATAGGCGGTGTGACTCCACGGGGAATTTCAGCCCCAGCACTTTCTCTAAAAGAGCATGATTCCTCAAGCTCAGACGGTTCTTCTTTGACATCACTGTGGATGTCGTCGTCACTATCATCAATGTAAATGACGTCATCCTTTTCCTTTCTGCTTTCACGAGCAGCCGCCTCTGTGCTGTGGTGTTCAGAGTTTACACCTAAAGACTGAGTTGTAGACCCGTGATTTACTATCACAGGAACATAGTAAAGGTACACATTACCTCCCTCCACTGGATAAGAAGGCAAGTTCATCATTCTGTATTCTCTATGAAGGATCTGTTGGTATCTTAGTGCAACCTCCTCCCATACACGTCTTTGCTGCTCTGTACCTCCTGACGAGCTGCTGCATAAAAACATCAGTGCTCATTATCAGTCAAGTCAAACTCAAATTAAACTTCGTGCTCAAAGTCGATCTAGTCGTAGATTCCTACATAAACCACATGAATTGGACAACTTCGACTAAAAGTTCGACCTTTTGAATTCACGCTGATGGCGTAATGCAGTAAAAACTATATTAGAGCAATTTTCAATTGTGTCGAGTATATTTGAGATTGCGTTGGCTTTGCATCTTCAGTCTGTGATTGGTGAATAAAACTCGCGTCATAAAAGTTATAAAAGGACTAGATTTCAGTGGTCGTTATACGTTGGTGCAAGTAAACACCAAGTCAAATGAAATCGGAACTTAAGTTGGGTGTGCGGTAATTGCTCTGTTCTATTAAAGACAATACCTCATGTAGCATCATTGTTCTTGTTATGAGCAACGTACCTTGCCAAGTTGTTCATTGTCATCAGACGGAATGGAGACCCCCTCCCCCCTCCCGAAAAAAAATGAACGCTAACGTGGCAGTTTCTCGTTCTGCAAATACGCCATTTTCGCTAACGCTAGGCTTTTAACATTGAAGGATACTTTGTTTTTCCGCCAAAATAACGCAAGTTTGACAGTGGCCGCGGTCTCACTTTTGGAAAATCTCGAAATGATAGTGCACTCGTCTTAAAGGTAATTTATAATTTTAATACTCGGTAGTTAGTAGGTTGTTATTTTACAGGCGTAATCAAAACATTAGAATTTAACCCGAAAATAGCGCGAATTCCAAAGATATGAACTGTAGGCGCCTTCTTTTCACTTACAGCGGTGAACAATTGATCACCAAGCAGGATTGTCCCAAAGCTGTGCCATGTCGGTAAAAAACATACCGATATGGCCTTTGTAGACAAGAGCTTGCTTTCTTTCTTCTTAGAAATATCATTATGGCAAAAAATCAAATGAGAATCCAAATTGTTGTGTTCTTCCTGTTATTTGTAAATTGATAGTTTTAACGAAGTTGGTTTTACCTTCCCGCTATTATGGCTGTTTGAAAGAAACCAGTTCTTTTCAATTGAAATAAAGAAAACAAAAGCATGTGTGCCAAAAGGAAAGCGACAATAAACCGGAACATAAATTTTCATCCTTTTGGCTCTAAGCAACGTGTCTTTCGTTTTCAATCTCTATGTCTGGGGCATGACTATTACCAAAACAGAAAACAAAACTTTCGAACCGACGTTAAAAAAACGCCAACAATTAAAACCATTTAAGGTGCGAAAGTGGCTCGCTTGGAGAAAAATAAAACATGTTGCGTGTTCTGAAATAATCTGAATTAAACCGCACACTCGCACCAGGTGTCTCATGGAAAAGCGTGGACAGAAGAAGTTAAAAACGGCGAAAAAGATGTAAACGGAACTCAATATGAAAATATATGGAACTCAACTGCGTGACATTATCCTACCAGTTGGTCGCCCGAGATTGAAATCATGGCAGCCAAAGCAGCTGCAAATAAAGAATTTTTGCTCCTGGGATAACTGTTTAGCGCTGCACGGTTTCAAAATAGACATAGTATGCAAGAACTGATTGGGAAAAATTGTTACAGTCCAGTAACATTTTCAACTGTCTTCTTCCTCAGCAAATAACCTGTATTCATTCAGCTGTCTCGACAGAGCTGACCTTCATTAAAATGCAGGCACGCAAATGATAAGCATGCTATGTCTACACGGGCAATAGCTCGGTTAAAATCTTCACACTTCAAGTGCGGAATTATCCTTCGAACAGAGATTCCATTGCTTTACCAGTTTGCTCTCTCACAAAACCACCAGCATAAAACAAAGAAATGGTGCCCTTGATGATTTCTTAATTATTCCTGTCGTAACAACACTCCTGAGGAGCGCGTGTTCTCCAGCGCGTGACATCTTGTCTCGCCAGACAAGAACTTAACCATGATACAGGTACTGTAGTCGTTTAATCTCCCTTTTATTGAGCATCGATTTCTTATTTTAAACGATTTCTCAATTTAGGAGTATTACTTTCAACACATGTCTTTGTGGATGATCAACATTCAGTAAACACGTTCACCAACAATCTCCTTTGTAGATGAGTGTCATGACCTTCGACAAATCCGAATGGCCTCGAAAAAACAGACACTGGCACGGGCAGTAATCAATTGTTGTAGCGAATATCACCTACCTGTTTGTAAACGCAACAGAATTTGAAAAGGGGGGTTCAGGATCGTCAGCGATTGTTACAATCGTTTTTCCTCTCTCTGTGGTTTTGTCGAGATTTCCATTTGTTTCGATTTCGTTGTCAGTTCCTGTAGTGGTTTGAGAAGACGTGCCATAGCGAACATCAGTCGTTAATTTCCCGTCTACAGGTGAAAACGCGTTGCCTTGTTTAGAAGAACTCATCAATTTTTCGTGTGGAACAGCTTCAGCATTTCCCATGCTAGGTATTGAGATAATTTTAACAATAAAATATGAGTCAACATAAAAACTGCCTCGCAAACCCGCGACTGACAAATGAAAGCACAACTTAACCACTGCTGCGAATTATGCATGAATAATAACAAGCCAAAGGACAATATCGTTATTTTAAGATGCCCAGCTACTGCTCTCAAACTAGATCCCTACCGTAATCAAGTTACAAGTTGAATTGACTTTGACATAATCTCGAGCCTTTTCCTGAGTGTAAGCTGATTTTTGCCAAAAAGTCCCTAACACCTGACGTCAGCTTTGTCCCTTCGGTTATGAGTTTCGTGCCTTACTCTCGCCCGCCCGCGCATTCGTCAACAGTGACGCAACAATAATTTATATGAATTACAAGAGCGGTTGCGTGACTGAGGTCAACGAAATAAACTAATTTGCATTTCCGATGCACATATAGCCCCATAGCAACTTCATATTGTTTCACGACACGCTTATGGTCCTAATCGACGTTTTTCTCTCGAAATTTCAAATTTCTTACACACGTTCTGTAGTTTACGTTTAAGCAATTCATAGTAGGCTGACCCGCGGCCTGAGGAAATTCAGGACTGGAAAAGTGGACTTTAAAAAAAAATCTGGACTGCTAGTGTGATGGTGAAAAAAGAAAAAACAACAACAAACAAAGGAACAAAAAGAAGAAATAAAAAAAAAAAGATCGAGGATGTCTGAACTTCATCTTTTTTAAAGGTGTATGAAATTAAATTTTAGCTTGTCTTCCGCGTAAAAATTAAGATTACGAAAAGTAGAACCATCCATGTGTTCTTACAGGGAGCTAGTCGTTAAAAAATGTACTTTAGTTTATACCCAAGTTTACTGGCGCTCTAGGTAGGTAGACAGCAGAAGAAATGACTGGTAGATGTCGGCAACAGTGAAGCCTACACGACTGTTCGATCTCCTTAAACAAGAAAATGATCTTCAAAGGTGGATTGCAGAAAAGACGCCTGCAAAAATTTAGGCTTCGACGAGATTCGAACTCAGGCCTCATACTAGATAATTCAGCGTTAACAACTGAGTTGAAAACGTGAATTGGCCACCATAGAGAGTTGAAAGGTTGACGTTTCGAACGTTAGCCCTTCGTCAGAGCGATTGGAGGAGTTGTGCGTTGTGTGTGGGTTTAAATTCAGAATATGGAGCTACGCTATTGGTGGGAATATGGTGACGGATACCAGTCGGGCGCTCCTATCAACTGAGCTACGAAGCCAAATTTCAGCGGATTCTTGACCCGTTCGTCCGTATGACCCCGTTAATTTTACTCCTAAACTAGAACACACAAAAAAGGGAGTTGCTGTGATAAAAACAGAAAATCAGTGGTTTGGCGTGGGCGCATGGTGAACAATCAACAGTTCACTACAATCGCACGCTTAAACTCTTGATAAAAGGTTTTGGAAAAAATGATGACCTAGAGAGACTTCTTTGAGTTTCATGTACTCGTTAGAAAGTTGCATAACCAGTGTAAATTACCAGCTCGCATTATCAACTGGATTATAGATTTTTTATCGGAGAGATCCTAGCGGATTAAATTTGCATCAGTGTTTTTCTGAATGGGGCCCAGTCCCCGCCGGCGTACCACATGGTACTAAACTAGGCCCGTGGTTGTTCGTCCTAATGATTAACGACCTTGATAGGAACGCACAGCAATGGAAATATGTGGACGACACCACGGTATCTGAGGTAGTAGTAAAGGGCGGAGAAAGTCACGCGCAAGCAATAGCTAACAGAGTAGTTGAGTGGTCTCGAGAGAACAGGGTCCAACCAAACGCTGACGAGTGCAAAGAACTCAGGATCTTCTTTGCTAAAGAGCAAAGAGTCTTTGATCCCGTCATCATAGAAGGGAAGAAGGTAGAGCTAGTCACTAGTACAAAGTTACTAGGCCTTACAATGGCGAACGATCTAAGATGGAACGACCATGTAACTGAGATAACCAAAAAGGCTAGCAAGAGACTCTACTTCCTACTTCTACTTCCTAACTCAGTTAGAGCGGGAGTTCCGAAACAAGATCTAGCACTGTTCTACGCATCGTGCGTGAGATCTGTTGTTGATTATGCAGCACCCGTCTTTTTTAATGGTCTCCCCCAGTACTTAAAGAAAGAGCTGGTACGGCTCGAGAAAAAGCAATATCAATAATAACCTCAGGAAATTGCAACTCGGTAATAGAGGTGGGGTTAACACCCATTTTGGAGCACTATTACGTACTATGTAGCAGGCTTTTTGATAACATTGTCAGTGATCCAAACCATAAATTGAAGGCGCTCCTTCCACCAGACCATGACAACTCATGCTATAACCTAAGAAGACAGCGCCTTTTTAACATGCCAAAGCTTTGCACGAACAGAACAAGTGATACTTTTATATATGCGATGTCGAAACAGTCGGGGCTGTAGTTTTATCCCACTTATATTCATACTTTATCTTTCAACATATTTCAATATGAATATGTTATATAGAATTTTTTAATATTGTCTTAAAAATTAGTTTTCGATTTATTTTCTAGGATTCATTTGTAATTTCAAGTATTGTAATTTTTTTGTAATCATTGCATAATTCAGCCTTTGGCTGCGATGCAGTTTTAATAAACTATCTATCTGTACCTCTCCCAAATAACGGTTAGGTACTGGGACAATGATGCCCTCAGGGATAGGTTTAAAAGAACTCGGTAAAAGTACCTTGAAAACAGTGAATCGACAGACTCTTTATTTTCAATCAAATTTTGTTGAAACGAGGTGCTGTATATCTAGTTATGCGTCTTTGACCTAAGAAAGCAGTTGTGGGCAGACGTGATTGTTTGTATTGTGTCTCCCTTGAAATATGTGGCGTTCTTCTCTCGTCACTTAACGGACGGTTGATTGGCAGAGAAAACAATGGCATTAATCAGGACGCAATTCTATTTTGCTTATATTTGAATGTGATCAATATTTAATTATGATTCTTTTTTAAATTTGCAAGCCTTTAAATACTCAATGTTCAATCAAGCGTCTCTGTCTCCGTTGTTGATTCGAGGAGAAAGGACAAGGAAGCCGTGACTTACATCACACGGTAAAATATTACAGCGGTATCTTCGACGAGATGACATGCTTTGATTAGAATTCTTTTGCTACAAGCTTCAAATCAAAGGTATCGCTTATCACTCGCCAGTCAGCTTTGATAGCATTTGTAACTGTCTCGTTTTGTGAAAGTAACGCTGCCGATATTGAACTAAACCGGGCCGAATGTAAACGAAACTAGAACCGAAAAGCTCGTACGAAGTTTCCGGGTTCGCAAATGACCGCGGATCCGATAGCAAACCCGACGCTGACAAAAGCAATAACGCTGAAGGGAAATGGAAGCAGACTTAACATGTTTTCTGATGAAGAGAAGGCTATTACTCATGAGAGTAAACAAGACGTGAATAAATTGATCAATTTGAGCTTAGTTTTGATGAACAGTGTCGAAGAAATCCCAGATGAAGACGCTGCTGCGTACCGCGGAAGTACGCGTACACCAGAAGAGGACACACTACCCATTGAAAGGTTGGTGTATTAGACTCTGGCCTCGACATTGCATGATAACGAAATAGAGGTTTTAACGATATCTTCGTCATTTCTCGAGAGCCTGGTTTACCAAACAACCTGTGTCTTTTCCAGCGCTGCAACGATTCAGTGTGCACTCTTATAATCTCAGCAAAACATCAAGCTTAAAGCGAAGCTAGCTTGATATCAGTTAATTAATTAAATATTTTTGCCCCGCGTTTTGCGTTGTGTTACAAAAATCCAAGTTGACTTCGTGCAACTATGAACAAAATAACGTTTGATTATTCAACTATAGCAGACGGTCCCTAAACCATGTAAACAAGTGCATGGCGTGAAAATATTCAATTAAATGCTTCGAATAGTGATTATTAGCTCGCGCGTAAATAATAAAACAGATTGATTCGGTACATCGTATGTCTAGGGTTTACTAGTCAACATTCATGAAGTAATTTCGAAAATCTGTACTACAAAATATCTTATAGAGGGAAAAATTAGAAGAAATAGCATCTACATCATTTTCACCTTAATTTCGCTTTCGTTGCCTTTCATGCAGTCCATAAGCTGTGTTTGTGACCAAGTGAAGTCACAAAATTCGGCCCGATCGCCTGTCTTACAGACCTTCAAGTGTTTTCCTACGTTTTTGCACCCGATCTGTTCACCAAAGGAATTGTGAAATATTCCCCTGACAGCCCAAAGCGTGCTGCAACCGTTGCCCTTGGCTAGTCTGCGACGTGATGTTTACTTGCTGTCGTTGTTTCTGTTTTGTTTTTTTATATATATATATACAGTGCACAAGGTTTTGACGACTGGTGGAACCATTCCTCAGTTCGGCTGTACCAAACAGATGAAGAGGAACAGCTTCCTTATTGGCTCGACTATACCGAGCACATAGACAGTAATGTTTACAACAATGAAGTTAACGACCCTTTTGGCTCATTAAAATTCAAAACTGTCGTCTCAGATCATGATAGCGATCAGTTGAATTCCCCTTATGGTCACGAACATGGTGAGGTCAACATAACAACTAAGACAGACCAGAGAATACAAAGTTTGAAGGCTTTGCTAGCGGAGCAAGAGAAGACAATTAGCCGGCTGAGGAGTGAAACCATTACGAGGCTTCCCGAGTCAAAAGAAGTTCTTAGGATATTAACACAAGAGCAGTCCGACTGCGGTCAAAATGAGAGGAATATGCCAATTACTCAAACTTGTCACTCATATGAAACAAAGAATCATTTTTGCCAAGATCTTAGAAGCGCAAATCGTAAACGAATAGGCCCAGAAGATACAGGTTTGTCGAACTCAAAGCGATATCGCTACAATCTTAGAAAAGATGTTCCACGGCAATTTAGAACTAATTTTGAAAAGAAAACCGGCAAAGTAAAAAGGTTTCCCAAACACGATTTTATGACTGAGTGCGTCCACTTTCCAGACGTAAGGAAAGATGACCTCACGCAAGAGGAGTTCTTGTCTTCTCTTGGACTTTTAAGGAGCACCAATAAGTTAAGTGGAACTAGTTGATTTAATGGCAAGGATGAAAAGTCTTTCCAATTTCGAGTACCAGTGCAAGGATTCAGGATAATTTAATTCTGTAGCAGCCCACACCTCGGAAGGAAATGGTATCTAAGGGCAATCTTGACAGAAACCAGGCAAAATAAGTGGGGGACAAAGGGAAAAGAACGGGAAGAAACTAAGTTTTGTTTCCTTGTAACAAAGCAACAGTTAAAATAATTCATAGGAAAACCGAATGTCATAATTCGAGATGCGTGACATCTTCAATTCCAGATCGATGGTCGCAGCCTCGCAACAATCTCACTGGAAAGCAACCTTTTATATATATATGTATATGAAATACGGAAAAAAATCCGGTTGAATTCTGCTAATCAGACCTTGTCGTTAACCATCACCTAACAAAACTTCATGATAATCCTCAGTCATCGTGATTATCGTACTTGAAAAATAAATCGCCCTCGTGGAAATACTCCGAAACAACTGGATGTGACGTAGACGGTAAGGGCCGATGTGTCTTAACCTTTAGAGATTATCAAAGCCGGAAGCTTTCAGCTGCTTACGGATTAAGGCATGATTGTATAACTTTCAGTTTGGTTGGGGTTACAAACTGTATCGTTCGTTATCACAGTTTTGAAGAATCAAATAAAGATTATATTTATATATCATTGTAAAACTTAAAAAGTAAAGATTATGAAAATAACAAAATTTTCGAATATGGAAGCGATCCTCGCAGTTATAAACACTACTTAAGTAGCAGTGAAGATAAGGCCTGAAAAGAATTCAGGGGCGTACGGGATTTAAACCCATGACCTTTGCGATACCGGTGCAGCACTCTGGTTATTATGTTGGTTTCAAATAAACGCCGGCCTTGTTTTCACTTCTACTTAAGTAGTGTTCATAACTGCGAGGATCGCTTCCATATTCGTTTCTCCAACCGTAGTTCACATATATGATTTTCATATATTTACAGTCACTTATTCACCATTTCGAGGATTTATTTGGAACCAACAACCATCCCCGCAAACGTCGACACCCTGCTGGAGGCCTTTCCAACTTTGACGCGTTTCTTTCTTCGGTACAGGTTCCCCTAAAACATTATGTCAGCCGCATCTGGCGTCCTTTTTCTTCGGCAAATTAAACTTAACTACTTTCTCTAACTAAAGAGCAAAAAAACGAAATTTGACAATTTTAACCAGACTTTGTTGACGGCAACCTTAATTGCTCTCAGATTTTCAAGGGATCTTCGCTTATTGCATCAGTGCAGATTACTTTGAGTCGGGTGAATTCTGTGGGTCCAAATGTGCCACTTACTTTGCTCTAAAGTAAAGCAAAGTAAACCAGGATTCGATTTAAAATCACCCTCTCTGTTCTTTGGTTGATTTTACTTTTTCTTTCAAGTGGGTTAATCAGCGCTTATCATTGCTGCAAATCATTTGAAGAGCTCTTTAAGGGGGACCGCCCTGTCTTCATTTGCATCAATTGGACCCTTCGGTTGTGATATCAGAATCGTGGCTTAACAGTAAAGACGCAACACAACAAGGTAGATATTGGTTAATCTGGACAGGTCGTCATCTGGTACTTTCCTGTCTTCAGGCTTAGCAAAATTAAACTTTCGTCACCGAGTCACTTTTCGGCATGAAGTATTAACCTCAGTCGCTTCACTTCACTTTTCAAGATAAATTTTGAGAACACAGATTTATACCAAAAAAAATGTTCTTTAGATTTCGATGCAGAAGGCAAAACAATTTGAGTTTTAACATTAAACTTGAAATCTCTACCCAGTAGAAACTTGTCTAAGTTGTGAGCCTAACAGAGGTTCTTCAACCAGCCCACTTTGACTCACCCAAGTCAAGGAAGAAACCTGCTATATTGGTAAACTGTGGCACTCTTTATGTAAACTCTATTTGTCAAGTATTTTCTTACAGTTGAATATGGAAATGATACAACACGACAAAAAATATGTATAGAATAGTTACTTCCTTCCTTCTTGTGAAGTTAGTGAGAGAAAATTTAGTTATTTGGAAAATAGGATTTCTTCTTTGTGGGAAAATGACATAACAAGAAGAGCACAATAATAATTAAGGTGGATCCGGATCCTGTGCAACTGCGCGAAACACCGTACCATGTCCTTTCCCTGAACTGATTAAATTTCAATTTCTTTTTATACACCTTCTTTTCAAACCAACTCGCGACAGAAATTCATCTTGCTCAGTTTGGAAGCAGATATCATTGCCATCTTGCTTAACCACGCAAGTATTGTTAGGAGACTGCGGCGCCGCCTTTTCCTTTTTTCTGTTCCTGAACCGGCGAGCATTAAAAATATCAAATGATTTTAACACGTGTTGACATATGTCATCTACACTCACTGTTTTAAAATTTTGCTTTTGTTCCATATCGGTTTTTGCACATGAATCTGCCAGGCTTGAGAACCACTTGCCACGTGTATCTAAGGTTTTATGGTTTGATTGGACGTGTAATCTTTCCTTCTGAGTTCTAAGCCTAGCAAGCTCTTCTTCTTGCTTGGCTAGTCTGGCTTTAAGTGTCGTAATCTTGTTCGCACGATACGTCGAGTCCAACACACTACTCGCGTCATTGACAACACCGATGCTACTTAAGGTTTGATTCCTGTCTTCTGTAATTTGGCTCATTTCGTCTTTACTCGAACTGCTGTTATTACTCTTGTCCCATAATTTTTGTACACTTCCATCATTTCGATTGTCAACCTTGCTATTGTTACAACTGTTGCACAGAGTTCTTTCACTGTCACATCCCTCGGCACCGTACTTGCTCAAGCTTTCACGATATGTTGTTTGACACCTTCGTTTTCTTTTCCTACCTCTGTCTTTGTGCTTATTTTGGCTACGTTCAGTTTTAGCTGCATTATCTTCTTCATTATCAGCTGTGTCAATTTTCTCCTTTAGTTCATCATGCTTACTTGGGTCGTCCAAAATGGATTTTGAGATATTTTCATTCATATCATTAGATCCTTTGTCGACACTAATTTGTTCTTCTCCTTCTTCGTCGATAGTAAGATCTATTATCTTATCCGGCTGCGGAGATTTCTTGACAGAACTGGGGCTACAAAGATTACGATCTTGTATAACCCTTTTTGCGGTTTCACCGTGATTCAACGGAAACTTATAACGGTCCCCCTCATTTAGACTGAACTCTTGTAAACCGACTATTCCAGTTGTTTTCATGTTGGTTTTGACGGAATTCAAACTGTAGACATCTACAATTTGAGGAAGAATTTTGTTATCCATTGTCTTCTTTAGCACTCTGCTATTGCAGTTATTAACATCGGTGGTGTCATTTCCTGTTTCTGTACGCGTCTCTGTTTGCTTGCATGACGTGTCCTTTGGTTTTCCTTGTAAACGTGATCCGTCATGCCCATTCAAAATTACTTGTGTTAATACCTTAGGTGAACCAGCGCTACTCTGGGTAACCAGTTGATCATCATAGTACTGACCCAATATTTTGTATTCTTTTTCAATTATCTCTTGATATCGCTTGGCTACCTCGTTCCAAATTGGGTCAGACCTAGAAGAGATGTCAGAAATTATCGATTAGTCTGTAATCCGAGGCGACATTGTTATGTCACAAACCTTGACATGTTAACAACAACGATATTTGAGCCATTAACACTTAAACAGAATTTCTCTTGAATCCTTGGAACTCTAGGAGCAAATGTCTTTCTTTCCTATCTGGGCCAAGGATATTGACTTTTAAGTCCTAGTAATATGTTTCTTTTTTTTTTCAATGTTGAACATAGCAGAGCTTTGAAGCGTAACCTTGTTAGAATAGTTGCGTGACGAGACAAAATAGCCGCTGCGAAGCAGACCACGCTTACATTTCGTCAGTGACCAAATGAAAACATTCGGTTACAGTAAGCTTCCGCGAAATATCATTCCCATTATTTTACAGTGAGAACAAACTGTTTTGTCTCAGGTTTCCGCATGTCTAATTCCGTAAACTCCCGCATATTAGTCCCCCCCCCCCGAGTTAAAAGCTCCCAGTTATAGGCCCAGCGACCAGAAAACAAAAAACTATGTATCTGATAATAAGTCCCCTTTGGCTTTTCTTGTTTTTAGGGTTAAAAACTAAAAATTTTGATGAAAGGAGGGCAAAGATGAATTTCGAGGGAAATATATCAACTTCCGTTTGATATGTCCCGGTTTTGTTCGTGTCGTTGGTTTTAATTCTGTTCCAGATGTAACGAAATTAATTCGATTTATTTTGACAATGTTAAACTTCATTGAATGAAGATAAATTATCATATTTCAAAGGGTTTCACTTGGGCACAACAATGGGGGGCTTCCTGTCGACTATCTGGTCTTTGCTTCGTTATTGTGGAGTACGCAATAAATTGCAGGTTGTTTATAAGGAATTTATACGCGATAGGGTTAAGTCCATGGTACCTAAGAGCGAATGTGGTTGGTAGAAATGTCGAAACACGTGATAATTACGTGGAAAATTAACCAGTAGCAGTGTTATGATCCCTGTGAATTTTTTTTCAGTTGTATAGGAATAGTCGCATAATTTAGGTTGTTGACTGGAAAATGTAATTTAAGGGAGCCTAAGCCCAATTCATAGTGAAAAGTTACCTTGTTACTATATTGGGACAATACCACAGCGCTCTAATTGGTACGAGATAAACTCTAATGCTGTGATTTGTTAGGTGCGAGATACCTGTCCTAATGTTGCGATCTGGTTGGTGTAAGATACGTACCTCAATGCGGCGACCTGATTGGTGAGGGCAACAAACCTCTCGATTCTGACAAAAAGTTATTTTACTATTTATTATGATTTTTTCAAACAACTCAAAAATGCCAGGCAGATTTGTTAAACACGCTATGCTACTCTCCGTCAGTGGAGACAGTCATTGTTTGGCCTTTTTCACCAGTAGGACGGGTGCGACAACAACTGGATCTAGTTCGCACCTTAAAGTTGTTAAAGTTGTTTAATTCATTTGTGGTCAATGTGGAATATTGAAGAATTTACAGCTTCTCGACCCGGGATCGAATCTATTTAGTTTGCGTTCAACCATCGTCTCCTGTAATCCGTTGATCTCCTCGAAAGCTTGATACAGGCTGCATACGACATTCCCTGCATACTTCTAGTGAAGATTTCCGTTTCACCATAATTATTTCCTTTAGTGACCAATGTGAAAAAATTTAAAACTAAAAAATTAAAACTAAATTTATGCTTATCGTGATATCAGATACAGACCACAGTGTCGTTTGAGAAGCATGATTGCTCGTTCCGCTGCTGTGTTACTTCCGAAGGAGACTATAAAGAAGACTTATGACGTCAGATAAAATAGCACTTCAAAATAAGTGAGCATGGTGATCCTATGGGTCATAGGTTACTTGCTGGTTAACAAAATCACGAATCTTTGGAAGAAAGCGCTTCGCTCGCTATTGTCACAATATTTGTGAGGGATATTTAGTTTTCCGCAACTCTAATTAAAGGATTGCATAATCGTGAGATTCAAAGTACGCGGTATTAAAATGAAACGTGGGTTGTCGCGCGATGAGACCCAGGCCACCTCGGCCTTCTCTTCAGCTTAAGCAACGATAAACTCCTCCATTTTTATGAATAAAGCTCCACATGCTATCGATTGATAACTGGTGACCAAAACCAACGTCACGTGTTGCACTTCGTGTGACTAGTGGTTATTTTGTTCGTCATGTTAGTAAAGAGTAAGACCCACTTTCCCACAAAAAAGAATTTCGAAACAAAAGTCCTCACAAATAAAGATAACTTTAGCAATTAATACACAAACCAACGACGATGTTGAGACGACAGAAAAACTGCAGTTGGTTCGGGATCGGCGCTAGCAAACAATAGTTAAAGTTATTACATTCCAACACAACATAACTTAGTCGCTTTGTGATATCAGGTATCTCCTAAACAGGAACTTCGATCTGCAAACCACCAGTAATTAATCAGTGAGAAAATGAACCGCGGTACAACATCGCTTAATTTGCCGCGCATTGTTTGACACAGTTCTCTGACCTTTGAGTGACGAGAGTTTCGGCGCGACTTCGGTTAGAATATAAATTAGGAACGTTCCGCATGAGCACTTCTATACTTTTGTCTGTACAAATATGAGATTAGAAGCATTCTCTCTCTTCTCAAAAACCTCCCATCTTCGAAATTACAAGTTAAAAGAACGTGCAATGTGTAACACGCTTTTCTTTCGTTAAGTCGTGCGACAGATTAGGGCGCGAAGCCTCTGTACGGCTTGACCTCCGAGCAGGATACACCATCGGTCCCTTCAAAACAAACGAAAATTTGCTTTAAAGAAAATTACACTAACACAAACCTGTGTTCTGTTGATTCAGAGTTATCGTTATATGACTGTTGACGATGACCGATCGGGATAAAACTGTTCGAGGAAGATTTACACGCGTCTGGCGGTTTGCTTGTGCCGCTGTCGAGTGATCTTCGAGGACCGCAACAATCAACGTACGATGACATGCTATGGAGGCTGAACTTTCATTTATAGTTGGAGGATCTCTGGATCTTGTGATACTGACTACAAGTGTTTAACTTCAAAAAGTTTGGTAAAACACGTCTTGCTTTTCAAACAACAAGGTGCCTCCGTTCGTGGAGGAGGTCACGCTGTTCTCAATCTCCCACGTGCCTGGAAAAATATGAAACATGAGCGATGATGTTTCTGCCGATGAAGCGTTGCGAACTTTGATCTGTTTACATTAGTCTGTGACGTCAGAAAGACGTAGAGTATCCCGCTTTGGAGGACAAATCGTAAGGTGCGACGGTGTTTTCTTCATGAATCAGTAACGAGAGTTCGTACCTTGTGGCAGTCATGCGTGCTTTTATTATGCTAATTTGAAGGTTTCGCATTATTATTATCATATCTGTATCACGTAGCATGCAAAAATAGAGATAATATTGAAAAGATCCTGGCTCTAGAAATGTTCAACTCGATATTTCGCTTTTAAGACATCTTTTAGACGACATCTTTTAACAAACACTTTTCTGTAAGGAATATCATAGCAAAATATAATTGACTTAAGCCCAACAATATCGCTGACAAGGATAAGTGGTAGAAATATAACTCTTCATTACACTCCCCGGTGGCTTCGCTTTTTAGGGCTGCACTAAAATTCCATAGACATCTATCTAGTGTTCTTCAATAACTCATCTCACTTAAGTTGTCGCACTCAAAAGTATTTCCTCTTTGCATACGTACTTAAAGGAAGGTAAGTGCTGGTTTCGAGAACCGAACGAGTTACACTCGGTCTATAATGTGCACAAAATCTGGCCTCTGAGAATGATTGGGTTCGAATCAAGCGGATCAGTTTAACTATTCTGTATGCTACGTCAGGAGCCTATTAGTGATGGACTCCTGGCTACGTGGACTGACGTTCGGTAGCGACAGCCATAACGGAACTATTAAGATTTTAGTGCGCAAGACAGAGCGGCAATCAGTCTAAACACTGCATCACATTGGTGGCTGAAAATTCAAGTTTACCCATTTTTACTAAAATGCATTCGAACCCAAAGGTGCTTTCTCTTTATTTTATAATTTATTATTATTATTATTATTATTATTATTATTATTATTATTATTATTATCATCATCATTATTGTTACGATAATTTTATAATCTTTCCGAAAGCGGTAAAAGGTGGAGTCTTCTATCGTCTACTGGGGAGACCCCCTCTCGGGTCAATGGCCTAATGATGCTCCCTAACAAGGGAAAAAAGCATCTTGTTGCTTCAGTCGAGAAAATGTAATTTAGAATGAGGAAATATGAGAAACTTGAAAATTTGTCTAATTAGGGCTTATCACTCAGTTGAACGTGCGACTGTCAACTTTTCGGTAGTGTTAATTTCACCAACTTGTCTTTTCGTTACTTTTTACTTGAATAAAGCCCTCTGTTTCTACGGAGATTATTTTTCCCGATGATAAATTTCAAATTTCGATCAGATTTCAAACAGGGTTTACTTACCTGCCCGCAATCGTACTTAATCAACACTTATGAAACTGAAAATGGCTCGATTGTAAATACGTCTCATTCCTTTGGATTACCTCTAATAGGAACAAGTTGCGATTGGCCGTACCACTAATAGTGCCGTCCAACCGAGCTTCATTAAGCTGGTCTCTTACTTCCTTTCCTCTGTCTCATTCATCCGCTTAAATGACAAGTTTATTCTCGTCAGTCGTAGTGCTGCTACTATACGGGTAACCGATCAAGTCGCGCAAAAGTCGTGTCGCCTGAAAATTTTTTTAGTCATGTCTTTAGTTTTTATACGCGTTAAGAAATAATTGCTTCTAAGATCAAACTTGAGTCTGTAAATAGGCAATTAAGTTGAGAAATCTTTATTACTCGAGCGGTGTTCGTTTCCGACATTGACTACAAAGAAAACGATCAAATGGTCAGAATTGAAATGTCTGCGTAACGACCCTAAAAGCGTGGCTCATTTCACAACTACGCCTATTCCAGTTTGTAAATCCGGCCAAGCCTTTGCATTTTGTTGGCCCCGAACGTTATAACAGATACAGTGTGTAACACGGCTAGTAAATACAATTTTTTTGTGTTTTTTTGTGAAACTCCCTTAAAAAAGTGTATGACAGTAAGATGAAACACGTCGCAGAATTAAACAAGTTTAACTACAACAGTTCGCAGTGTGCTGCTCACTACATTAATTCAGAGAATTACTTGTCAGTATGGAAAACGAAAGACAGCAATTCAGTCGTCATAAAAAAGGTCTGAATAGAAGCAGATATGTAACGAATTTAAGAAAGTGAACGACACTTTTTAAAAACATGTTTCGACAGTTCTCCTGTCATCTTCAGTTCTGAAAAATACAAAGTAAAAAGTTGAATTTAAAGTGTGTAACAAAATGCTTATTGGACAAAACAAACAATAGTATCAGAACAATGTATGCATTTACAAGGAAAGTTAAATTAACATGGGAGTAACCTACTCTTAATCACCAACTTTATCATGTTAATTTAAAAACTTTCCTTGTAAATACATACATTGTTCTGTTACTTTTGTTTGTTTTGTCCAATCAGCAATTTGTTACACATTTCAAATTCAACTTTGTACTTTGTATTATTCAGAACTGAAGATGACAGAAGAACTGCCGAAACATGTTTTTAAACGTATTGTTCATTTTCTTTAATTCATCAATAAGTCATTACAGAAACTAGTTTACTTTTACCAATCAGATCTCATAATTCTTGATGTTTTCTAAATTTTATTTCTCACACGTGGCTCAAATCACATGAGCTTTTTCTGACCAAATTAAACAAACAGACTGGACGTTAAATCCACAATGCTCCATCCTCTGGCACCGTAAATGCTGAGATTGGAGACAACTGGTAAAGATGGCTACAGCAGGTAATGCTAGCTCAATAAAAAGTTTTACAGAAGTTCTTACTGTGGTTAAGTCGAAAATTTATGCAATTAAGGGCTTTGTTATAAAATTGTCCTCAAATATGCCGTATTAATTCTTGCAACCAAGCAGAAACTTCAACAGTTACTGCAAAATGTTTCGTTTTATCAACGTAAGTTCAGGCAAAAATACTATATGAAGTCATGCGTGGTAAAACTCAGCGACGCCTAGTTTTTGAGCACATTACTCAAGCAGATAGTATCGCCTAAAGGCAACAATGACCACTATTTTCATCAGCAAACTTGAATTCCTTTTATTGGCTAGTAGATTCTCAGCAAACCTAGCTGAAACAAGAACTCTTCCTGACTATCAAAATCCCCGGATATCAATTGGTTGGTGATGCCAGTAGAAAAACGTTTGTAATCGACGCCTACCGCATAATTCCTTGTCGGGAGGTGAGCGTAGTATGGAACTCTTCTGGTGGAATACAATTTGCCATCTAAGGTTCTACTGAATGATTTGATCACCTTCTGAAACGCGTTCTTTAGATCATCCATTTCGCCCATATTAACAGCCTCTTCGATTTCTTTTCCATCGGACCAGATCTTTGTGTCTTTCTTAAGGCTTACATCACGCACTTCGTTGTCTCCCAGAGACTCTGTGTCTTTCATGTCTTTTGGCTCAAACCATTCTTCCTCAGCTTCTTCTGTTAGTACACCTTCAAACTCTTTTTTGCGCTTAAGATTCTTAAGTTCCTGTTCCTGCTGTGCAAGTTTTTCTTTAAGATGAAGAATTCTATTTTGATGAATGTCAATACCAGGTAAGGAAGAAATCGTACCTGACGGGAAATAACAATTACCCTTACTGCTTCCTGCTGGCTCCTTTGAAATCACCCCCGTCTCACCGGGAACGGGTTCCCCATTAAAAACTGCCAGACAATCCTGAAAGGATTCCTGAGTATCTTTCTCAGACCTTCCTTGTGTTCCAGTAGTGGTCTCCGTCATTTCTGTTTCTGTATCCTTAAATGAGCCACAGTATTCAACCTGAGAACATGCTTGGTTCACAGTATCGCTTTTGAATTCTTCACCTATCAAAGATTGATCGATAGTCTTGATATCATTAATTAAACGCCTCTTTTTGCTCCTCCTTGTCTTGGCCTGCTGAAAAATGGCCCTCCTTTTCCTTCTTTTCCTTTTCTTATTAGCATCGATATTACTTAGTTCTTGCTCCGAGACGTTTTTTTTTCTCGCATTGACCATAACTTCCGCCTCATTAACTCCTTCATTCTTCGAAAAAGGGTTTTTTTCAGGTGTAGAGTTGCAAGGTATTTGGAACCACTCTTCCATGAAGGTTCTTCCTGACAAGCTACCACTTTGGACGTCTTTCTCTCCAAGTTGCATTGTATCAAGGTCTGCCATACCAAATATATGCTGGTTCCTTAAAAAATTGGTATCACGCGAACTTTTTCGCCTGCTAATACCAGTACACTGAAAATTTGGTACACATTTATTGTCATAACAAGTCTGAATTTTGCCTCCTTCATTGTTTGCGCTGCTGTTAAAGGTCTCCTTCTCAATTTGCTCGCATGGTTCATTCTCCCATGACTTTCCAAAAAGGGGTTGGGCAGTTGCCTCCTTTGGTGAGATGACTATGGTCACATGATCTCGGAAAATTTGCACAGGTAATGAGGGTTTTAAGCTAAATACTTTAACAATTTTGGGAAACGTTTCAGTATCTTTCTTCTCCTTTTGATGCATGACAACTGAATGGTGAAATTGTTCTTCATTATCCACTGGCTGTGCTTGAGGACACTGGGCCAACGGATATGTTGCCGAGTGTGTCTGTTGTTCTGTTTGCAAGGACGTAACCTTGAATGATGCCATAGTTTGACTGGAATTTCGCAGTTTGATATCCTTTTCGATTATTTCCTTATATCGTTTGGCAACCTCCTGCCAGATTTCATCAGCATTTGTCCTTCAGGGAAAAAAATAAAATCACTGAGAAAAACATTCGTTAAATAAAAAATAATTAAATAAACTAAGCTATTAGGTAAATAATTAATTTTAAAAAATCGCTCCGAGAGCAAATACTTACAGAGAGACAGCAAATTTCACGATGTTTCCGACCCTTAGATATAACGAAGTCTTCGGCGTTTTAAAAAATGTTATTCAGCCCAAACTGTCGGCAGCTTTTCGCTACGACGAAAACACTGTACCACTAAAATCGTCTGCTTTATTGAAACTGGAATGTGTGTCCGATGTTCGAAGACTTACTTCATAAACGTGACTAGAACGTTTTAAGAGGCGAATGCGTCAGGTCCGGTTCTATCTTTGATTAGAATGTTAAATTGTTCAAACTCAGCAAAACCAGTATTTATGCCTAATCATGCATTTCATGTCCTAGTACTCATATGTCAGTTTAATTTTCATGACCGAACATTCAATGA